CCTTCTCCTCCATTCTCCTCTTGGGATCTTGGGCACGCACGCACACGCACCTGGCGTGAGTTTAAGCCACCGAGTCTGGGACTTGAACCATGGTTGACTACGTGGGAGTCCAGCGACATAGCCATTACGCTAACCGCTGGTCCCTGTATGGGTTTCTTCTGGGTTTCGCGTGGAGGTTGCCGGCTGCTACACCCTTCCCCTCATGCTGCTGGGTTCCTGCCGCGATATTTACACCCAAAGAGCAGATTTACCCCCCAGAGAACAGGAAAGGGGTCTGCGATGACCGATGTGATCATTATTACTACTCAACACAAAAAGGGAGGTGAAAAGCTCCAGCCAGGGGTGGCCCCGTAGCCGTAGCCACATGGATAAGGGAGCTGGACCCCACATGGCTGACCATTGTTCAAGCCCCGGTTCTGGCACCTTGGAAACCACGTGTATGTGTGTGCACACGTGCCCGAATCCCGCTGGATGAAGAAGTGGAGGAGAAGGGGTGTCGGAGTGAGCATGCCCCATTAGGGGGTGCTCTCTCCCTCTCCCTCTCTGTCCGTCCCCCTCTGGTGGGCTCACACACCCTCTGGCAACTAAAAAGAAAGAAAGCAAAGCTAGAACTGCCCTTGGTTCCGGGCCACCGCTGGTGCTCCCGATTGTCCTGACACTTCCCGAGGCTCCTCTGTCTCCCGCCAGTTCTCAGAGCTTTGAGCGCCTCTTCTAGTGGGGTGACTGAAGTCTCCCTTCAGCCTGGGGACCTGAGCCTCGTGGCCTCTTTTAGGTGACAATGTAGGGAGTGGCTGGACCAGGGTGACCTTTAAAGACGACAGAGCGCAGACTGGCTGCTCAGGCAGGTGCCGCGCAGCCGGACAGCCGCGGTGGACAACAGAGAACAGCTGCTCTTCCTTCTGCTACGCCCTCCCCGCTGCCCCCACCGCTGAGTGCACCCGGGATCCCCGCTTTCCTCTGCTTGTGCTGTGCCTTTGTCTTTTCTAAACCGACCGCCACTTCCACTTGGGGCTCGGCCTCCCTGCTTTGTTGGGCTGGGCCATGACACCAGCTTCCGCCTGACATGGGAGAGCAGTCACCCACTGGGCCTGCTGCCGCCAGGAAGCTCGTCCTGCAGTTAGAGCCCTGCGGCGTGGGGGGTCCCTGCTGGCGGGGAGGCGTATCGTGCCCATGTTCCAGGGTGCAGGCCGGGGAGTAACCCAGTCCTGGGCGACTTTAGTGAGTGCACCCCCCCATCCTGGCTCCACCCCTGCCCCACCCC